AAAACTGGCACAAGACAGGATGCCCTCTCTCACGACTCCTATTCAACATAGTGTTGGAAGTTCTGGCCAGGGCAATCAGGCAGGAGAAAGAAATACAGGGTATTCAATTAGGAAAAGAGAAAGCCAAATTGTTCCTGTTTGCAGATGACATGATTGTGTATTTAGAAAACCCCATTGTCTCAGCCCAAAATCTCCTTAAGCTGATATGCAACTTCAGCAAAGTCTCAGGATACAAAATCAATGTGCAAAAATCACAAGCATTCCTATAAACAAATAATTGACAGAGAGCCAACTCATGAGTGAACTCCCATTCACAATTGCTAGAAAGAGAATAAAATATCTAGGAATCCAACTTACAAGGGACGTCAAAGACCTCTTCAAGGAGAACTACAAACCACTGCTCAAGGAAATAAGAAAGGACACAAATGGGAAAACATTCCATGCTCATATATAGGAAGAATCAATATCATGAAAATGGCCATACTACCCAAAGTAAGGTATAGATTCAATGCTATCCCCATCAAGCTACCATTGACTCTCTTCACAGAATTAGAAAAAACTACTTTAAATTTCATATAGAACCAAAACAGAGTCCATATAGCCGAGACAATCTTGGCTTATGGCTTTATTCTTTTTGCATAAGCAAAAAGAAAATATTCTTTGGTTATGCAAAAAGAATAAAGCTGGAGGCATCACACTACCTGACTTCAAACTATACTACAAGGCTACAGTAACCAAAACAGCATGGTACTGGTACCAAAACAGAGATATAGACCAATGGAACAGAACAGAGCCCTCAGAAATACCACCACACATCTATAACCATCTGATCTTTGATAAACCTGACAAAAACAAGAAATGGGCAAAGGATTCCCTATTTAAAAGTGCTGGAAAAACTGGCTAGCCATATGTAGAAAGCTAAAACTGGATCCCTTCCTCACACCTTACACAAAAATTAATTCAAGATGGATTAGAGACTTAAATGTTAGACCTAAAACCATAAAAACCCTAGAAGAAAACCTAGCAATACCATTCAGGACATAGGCATGGGCAAGGACTTCATATCTAAAATACCAAAAACAATGGCAACAAAAGCCAAAATTGACAAATGGGATCTAATTAAACTAAAGGGCTTCTGCACAGCAAAAGAAACTACCATCAGAGTGAAGAGGCAACCTACACAATGGGAGAAAATTTTTGCTACCTACTCATCTGACAAAGGGCTAATATCCATAACCTATAAAGAACTCAAACAAATTTACAAGAAAAAACAAACATCCCCATCAAAAAGAGGGCAAAGGATATGAACAGAACTTCTCAAAACAAGACATTCATATAGCCAACAGACACATGAAAAAATGTTCATCATCAATGGTCATCAGAGAAATGCAAATGAAAACCACAATGAGATACCATCTCACACCAGTTAGAATGGCGATCATTAAAAAGTCAAGAAACAACAGCTGCCTGAGAGGATGTGGAGAAACAGGAATACTTTTACACTGTTGGTGGGACTGTAAACTAGTTCAATCATTGTGGAAGACAGTGTGGCGATTCCTCAAGGATCTAGAACTAGAAATATCATTTGACCCAGCCCATCCCATTACTGGGGATACACCCAAAGGATTATAAATCATGCTGCTATAAAGATACATGCACACGTATGTTTACTGTGGCACTATTCACAATAGCAAAGACTTGGAATCAACCCAAATGTCCATCAGTGACAGACTGGATTAAGAAAATGTGGCACATATACACCATGGAATACTATGCAGCCATAAAAAGGATGACTTCATGTCCTTTGTAGGGACATGGATGCAGCTGGAAACCATCATTCTCAGCAAACTATCACAAGGACAGAAAACCAAACACCGCATATTCTCACTCCCAGGTGGGAATTGAACAATGAGAACACTTGGACACAGGAAGGGGAACATCACACACCAGGGTCTGTCGTGGGGTGGGGGGAGTGGGGAGGGATAGCATTAGGAGATATACCTAATGTAAATGATGAGTTAATGGGTGCAGCACACCAACATGGCACATGTACACATATGTAACAAACCTGCACGTTGTGCACATGTACCCTAGAACATAAAGTATAATAAAAAAATTACAATTCACTGAAGGTTTAAATGATTGTTAGCATTTTATGGCAATAAAGTATTTTAAAAATTAACAAAAAAGAATATTTTAAGATTAACAAAACAAGTATTAATTATAATTAATTTCATTACTTTTCCTAAATCTCCTTATTTCCTAAAATTCCTACATACAATTTTATATGGTTTCTTACATCATTATAGTCAGAGGCCATCAGATTTTCTTCAGTGTTCCATATGCCCATAAAAAAGAAAAGTCACAAAATATTATTCATTTAACATTGTTTGCTTTACCAAGAAGTTAACTACAACATGTATTTCATTGAACAGGAATATCTGCATAAACACATTATTTTTTGACCACACGTTTAATACAAAGTACAACGGGGCAAGTGTCCTAAAGATTAGCTAACATAACTGAATAGTAATTAAAGGCTATAAGTCTAATATTTTTTATAATTTGATATTATTTTATACAAATGAAGATACTCATAGCACATGATCAAGCACTGTAACTCCTACATAGACAATGTTCACAGCAGCATTGTTTCAACAGCAAAAACAAAAATAAATAAAACTCAAATGTCCATCAACAGAAGCATTCATGTAATACTATACAGCAAAAAAAATGAAAGCCACAAAAGTAAACATTATGCCATCTATACAAAACTGAGAAACATACAAAATTAACATTTCATTTAGAGATACCTATGTACAAAGCAAATGACCAACACAAATTTCCAAATAATTACTTGAGAGGGACAGGGTTCTTATGGGACGTCTAAAGTGTAAGCAATATTCTAGATCTTAAGCTGGCTGATGAGTACACAGATATTCATATTTGTTATCCCTTTGCCTTATAAGTACATGTTTATGTATTTTGGCAGTACATAATACTTCATTTTTTTAAAAAAAAACAGTAAAAATGTGAAAGACTTCAAAAAATGAAGACTACCATTTATGTATAACAATAAAATTATTGTAAAAAAGTATACAAAGAAAATGCTGAGTTCTTCCAGTGCCCTATATAATCAGTATTAATAATTTAAAGGGCGATAATCCCAGTATGAAAAAAATGACAAGCTTTGACACAAAATCTGAACATCTGCTTTCCTGGCACTCTAAGTTAGACAAGGGTGAATATGTTAGCCACTCAATTCTGCCTCTTCATCTTTCATCTGTACTTAGATTTTTCTTTATCTTTGGATTTCTTTGGACTTCTGCCTCAGTCCCTTTTTACTCCTTTCTCTTTCGTAAAGACGTCTGGTATTTGGATTTGTGACTATTACTATAATGGCCATTCCTCTCTCGAGATCAGCTACGACTTCGGTTCTGAGTTCAGTCTCTCTTTTTACTCTTTCATTTCTCCCAACAGCTTTCTTCTTCTTCATAGTGACCAAACTCCAAACTTTCTCTATAATTATCTGGATTAGTATTTTTGATAGGTATGCAGTCTTCATCTTCTTTTTCTTCAGAGCAGTGATGGGTTTTCTTCTTGTGTTTTTTACTTGTAAGTGAGTGACTTGACTTTGAGTCTTCTGCCTGCTCATCTAATACAACAGCATATTTTGCCTCCTGTTTGGGCTTTATCTTTCAGAACCAAATTAGATGGTTTATTCTGTTCCTTTTTATATTCCTTTAAATCACTCTTGTTGTACTACCCACCTTTTCCTTCCATTTAACCTTTGTAGCAGACTGGCTAAAATCCATGTTTTCTTCTGTCCATTTTTAAGAAGGCTTTCTCACAGTCTTCTTCCTTTTCAAATTCAATAAAAGCATACATCTGTAATCCCAGCACTTTGGGAGGCCGAGGCAGGTGAATCACTTGAGGTCAGGAGTTCAAGACCAGCCTGGCCAACATGGCAAAACCCTGTCACTACTAAAAATACAAAAATTAGCCCGGTGTGGTGGTGCACACCTGTAGTCCCAGCTACTTGGGAGGCCAGGTGGGGAGAATCACTTGAACCCAGGAGGTAGAGGCTGCAGTGAGCCAAGATCACGCCACTGCACTCCAGCTTAGGCAACAGAGTGAGACTCCATCTCAAAAGAAAGAAAAAAGAAAAGAAAAGAAAAAGACAAGACAAGACAGAAAGAAAGAAAAAGAAAAGCATAACAGAGGGTTTCTCCTGTCTTCCAGTCCCAGATAACTTCACAACTTCTTATTGGCCCAAATCTAGAGAGTATTATATCCAGATCCTCATCTGTAGTCACTGGATTCAATTTACAAACACAGCAGATTTTTCTGGAGGTTTAATATCTGCATCAGGTAGGTCTCTTACCATTCTAAAAGTAAAGTCTGAGTTTTAGCTTCTTTTTCTGCCTTTATTTCTTCTACTTCTTCAGCTGACCTTCCTTTGAAATGATCAATTTCTTCATCTGCATCAATTCTACCACTCTTTAATTGTTCCCTTGTAGGTTCTGGTGATAGATCAGGGATTAATAAATGAGGAGTGCCATCAAAACGGATCATCTAAAATCACTGTATAATTTATCCTGATATCCTGATATGGTACAAAGTCCTTGTCAACAAAGGTCTCATTAATTTTCTTAATTATGTCAATGCCTTCTGTCACCTCACCAAATACTGTATGGTACCATCAAGGTAATCTAGATTTTCTCCTGTAGTGATAAGAAACTGAGATCCCTGTTGATCACTGCCATTATTCACCAAGGACATTGTGCCTTTCTTCTTGTGTTTAACTCTTGGGACGTTTTCTGTCTCAAAAAAGCTCGCTTGATCACCATACAATTGGCCAAAAATAGACTCTCCTCCATGACCAGTCCCTATAGGATCAACAGTTTGTATGATAAAATCCCTTTGTACACTGTGAATAAGGCAATAATTGTAATATTTTATTTTGTACAATCTCAAGAAATTAAAGCAGGCGAGTACCTTCCAGATGCTTGGCACTGCCATCACAAATGTCCTTAAACCGTGGTACCTGCTCTCAAAAAGTTCACAGTTGCAAGGCTGCTGCTCAGTGTACAAATCAACAACCACACTGCTCAAAGTAGTCTCCAGTAGAACCACCATGGCACCCACTCCTCCTCGACTATAAACCCTGGGGAGGTTGCTAATATTTCTTTAAGGCAAAAACAAAAAGTCGATAGAAACTGAAAATAGGTAAAGTCTGATTATAAGAAAGAAAAATAGGGCCAGACCCAGTGGCTCACACTTGTAATCCCAGCATTTTGAGAGGCCAAGGCAGGCGGATCACTTGAGGCCAGGAGTTCGAAAGCCCATCTCTACTAAAAATACAAAAAAATTAGCCAGGTGTGGTAGCACATTCCTGTGGTTCCAGCTATTTGGGAGGCTGAGGCAGAAGAATCACTTGAACCCAGGAGGCAGAGGTTGCAGTGAGCCAAGATCGTGCCACTGTGCTCCAGCCTGGGCAACACAGAGAGCCACTGCCAGAAAGACAGACAGAAAGAAAAAGAAGAAAAGAAAGAAAAATGGGTCACTGTGCATTCAGCAACCAAGGTTTCAGGTAAATGGTGACACAACACATGAAAAGTTTGTCACTTCCCATTCTAGCTCAGCAGTAGCAGATATTCAGCCAAAGTCAAGTCCTCCTTATCTCAACAGCTTCACAAGGCGTCACTGCCCAAGATTACTACACAACATTATTACTACATATTACTACATTACTACACAAGAAGCCACATCCAACAATACAGTTCAGACTTTTGCACTAATGTATATGTGTGCAGAGAAAGAAAGGGCCAGTGACATCATCCAAGGCCAAACTATAGTATAATATTATAATATGTACAGGCAGCAAGATACATTAGATCTAAGCATGTTATGGAAACCATAGAATGAAACGATTAATATTTTAAGCTTCATCTAATGAAAGAAAGATTAATATTTTAAGCTTCATCTAATGCCACAAATAAACAGAGTGGCAACTTCAAAACAGAACACCAGAAAAAGCCCAAGCTAACTTAGAAATAAACAATTCATATATAAAATCGAAAGCTCAGTGAGAATAGTATATTTCTGAACAAGGATAATAGTATATTTCTGAACAAGGAAAATCAGCTAAGAATTTGACCCACTTTTTGTTACCCAAAAAGATAAAAAGTGAGCAAATGCAATTCCCTGAATGCGTTTCTTTCTTCTTTTAAAGAAGAGGTCACTCTGGAATGTAAAGTATTAATAAACCTTTAATATATACTTTTTAAGCTATATGATCAAAATATTGCAGAACACTGTAGCTTTTTTCAAGAATCTAATTTCTAAGCACAGTCTAAATCCTCACTTCTGCAATACTAATGAAACTGCATTTAGCAATGTTTGCCAATACCAGTTTAGTTAAGTCCTAGATACTTAAATGATCTGACTTAAAGCAGAAAGAGGACAGCTGATTAATTCTTTTAGGGGCAAAGTGTCAGAGTAACTCCAAGAATACTTTAGAAGAAATAAAATTGCACTTACGGAACTTCAAAAGATATTATAAATATATTTTGTTTATAATGAGCTAATATATAATCCAATCTATATTTTACTATGGTATTTTTGTACCTTCATGGAAAGATCACTTCACAAGTTTGTATGAGGAATAGTAAAGTTTCCATACAGCTAGACTTGATGTAACCCTGAGCCACTGAGTCCTGTTTTTATTATCTTCTAAGATACCAGCATTACACTTCACTAATTCAATGTATAACTGATATATTTAACTAGAAAAGTAAATATAATTACAGAAGAAATGTTGTGAGAAACTTTATCCATCACAAAGACTCTATATAATACTTTTAATCTCCTAACAACAAATACAATTTCTAATATTACTTATAAAAGAAAATCATTTCCACATTAACTACTATGCAGAACTTACAGAAAGCACAAATGACATTGAAAAAAATGTCAAAACACCCTGGAAGAAATTATGAAAATAGAGATTAAAATTTCTTTTCTATATTATATCAACAAACCTAAAAGAAGTAAAGAAGTGAAACAGCCAAGTAGATATAAACAAAATTTTTTAAGGTAGTGTGCCTTGCTTTGCCATGACAGTGTTGTATAAAAAGATACTATGTTGAATATTGCTAAAATATCAAAGGATGATAAATGTAGAGAATCATAATGATGGGGCCGAAGGTAGCCATATACTACATTATAAATGGGCAGATTTTTAAAAGTTTACACTGCCAAATAGGAATATACAAAAAGGAGACCTTATTCTACTCAGATTTTGAAATGTCAAGTGAACGGAAGTTTTTAAAAATCAAATGCTAAATTCTGTCTAAACAAAGTGATAGGTCCTTTAGGGACCAAAGGGAAGGCCCAATGATGGCATACTTACTGGGGATACTTGCAGCTATTTTAAGTTCCATGCACACTAGGGTCTAGTCCCATTTAGCTTTCTCTTCTTCCTTCACCACCCCAAAGCTATATTTAGCCTTTCTATGACTTAACTGTATAAGCAGTGGGATAATACATTGTGCATACTTTCCTGCCCCATAACTAACTGGGTTCCAACAACAACTTTCAGCTATCTTGAAGTCAGGACTTAGAGCATTACAAGAGCCCTGTGCATGCTGCCTGATCTTGGGCAAATTACTTAACTTCCCAGGACCTCGTTTCCTCATCTGTGAAAAGAGGTTAATAAAAGTACCTTATATTGGATTCTACCAAAGATTAGTAGTTGGCATAAAAGCTCAATAAATAAAAACTTTAAGACTCATCTAGCCTAATAAACTTTTTCTTTTCAATAGCAGAATCTTTTCCCTACCCAACCAAAATCTTAAAAAGCCTATTCCCTTCATTTTAAAGACACAGAAGATAAGATGCAGAGTTAGTGGCTTATCATAAGTCAAATGTCAAAACTGAAAAGATAACTCAAGTTTCTTGACTCCAAACCTAGTATTTCTCAGGATACATTTATGTGTCTAAGACATATCTATGGAACCATTTGGAAAATAATTGCTCTGGTCTTTCATTTGATAATTAGTTCTAGAGAAAACAGCCAGGTTATACCATCAAGGACTAGTCCAGTCAAACATGCTTTGCTCCACCTTCATCAGAAAAACAGCAAATAATCCCAAAAGCAAATTTATAGAATCAGTTATAGTGCAACTCTAGTCAGTCAATACTCATTCAGTCTTATTCTCATTATCATCTATAGTAATCATTTTTATGTATATAAGTTATCAATAATAGTTATTAATGAAGCTAATCAAGCCACAAGGAGTTAGTTCCTTTATGTCTTGTTCACTGTGCTTAACAATCAAGTGTGTGATAATGTTAGAAAATGTTTCATCAGAAAGTTAATTTTTTAGTAATGTAAAAGTTAAAATTAGCTACATGAAACTATTCACAAAAGTTTTCTTTATGGCCATACAGAATAAATAAGGAATTATTACTGTCAGTAGTTAATAAGTATTTGATCTTCAGTAACACTAGACAGGAAGTTGTAGCAGTTTTTGCCTTTTCATTACGAAACACATCTAGATGGTTGGTGGATTTCTTAACTTTTTTTTTTTTTTTTTTGAGACAGCACCCCATTCTAGTACCCAGGCTGGAGTGCAGTGAGGTGATTTCAGTTCACTGTAACCTCTGCCTCCTGGGCTCAAGTGATCCTCCTGTCTCAGCCTCCTGAGTAGCTGGACTACAGGAGTGTGCCACCATGCCCAGGCTAACTTTTGTATTTAGTGTAGAGGCAAGGTCTTGTTATGTTGCACAGGTTGGTCTTGAAATCCTGAACTCAAGCCATCTGCCTGCCTCAGCTTCCCAAAGTGCTGGGATTACAGGTGTGAACCACCATGCCCGGCAGGATTTCTTAACAATTCTAATAACCTGGTAGACAATTTTGGACACTGACCTTGCCACACAACCATGGGTTACTAGTTTCATTTCTTTTCTTTTCTTTTTTTTTGAGATACAGTTTCGCTCCTGTTGCCCAAGCTGGAGTGCAACGGCGTGATCTTGGCTCACTGCAACCTCCACTTCCCAGGTTCAAGCGACGTTCATGTCTCAGCCTCCCAAGTAGCTGGGATTATAGGGGTGCACCACCATGCCCAGTTAATTTCTGTATTTTTAGTAGAGACAGGGTTTCACCATGTTGGCCAGGCTGGTCTCGAACTCCTGACCTCAAGTGATCTGCCCACCACAGCCTCCCAAAGTGCTGGGATTACAGGCATGAGACACTGCGCCTGGCCCACTAGCTTCTTTAAATCATCATTATTTTTGGTGAGCCGTTATTAAGGTGTACTATGGTGAACTTCATTAAGTTATATATGTACACATTTCAACCCACAAATTATAGGCTCTTGGAAGCCTGCTGTCTTTTGGGAGGGCTGAATCAACCTAGTGCCAGTTGCTGGGACAATCACCTGAGACCAGTCTCTGTTTAGTGAATCCTGAAGCTTTCATCAGTTTAGCACCATATGTAATTAACTTTTAACATTTATGAAGAGAGAAAAGGGGAGAAAAGCACTTATATTCACTATAAAGTGATTCGAGGACAGTATAGATTCTGATTACATGTAAGAAAGGCCAGATACAATCATGTTCCTATCTTCAGAATCAAGAATTTCTGTCTGTCTCTCTCAGGAACAAGAATTTCTCTCTCACACACACACACATTCTCTCTGCCTCTCTCTCTTTATGCAAGAAAGAAATGGAGAAAAATGGCCAATCCATCTATATTTTATTTTAGTTACATTCAACAAACTAGGTCTCACATTTTTAGACATTCTGAAAATGTCAGATCATATCCCAGCACAGCGTAATAGTGCCATGGAAACAAAAGAAAACCAATTCCTTTGTCATTCTTTTAGCTCAGAAATCACAGCTGATCATCAACATCAGAGTCTTTTTTAGTTAGGAGCAACAGGATAGTTTTATGGAATGAACACTGGATCTGGAATGAGAAGATCCACATCCTAAATCCTTGCTGAATCAAAGTATACATTGCTTAGTATATAGTTAGCACACAAATACATGTTTTCTTCCTTCCTACCTACAACTAGAGACACAGCATAGTATAGGTGAAGTCACTGAGGTATTCATGAACTTGCCTCTTGGTATGTACCTCAGTAACATTCACTTGGAATAAACAACACTGCTTAAAGGTATCTGCCATGTTTGTTCATGCTACAGTGAAATACTTTTCCACAATTTGTTCATAATATAAGTAAAATCCTTAGACTTTTCAGAATTATTGCTAATCCATTATAATTTGTTTTTCAGAATAAGCACAAAAA